AGGAAAGATTCCATTCACCACTCGTCAAATACCAGGTCGAAAAGGCGCAATGGTTGCGAGTCATCGGAGTATGACTACACATTCAGGTTCTGAGTCGGTTAACACCAGATATGGCTATGGTAAGGCGGGCCATAGTTACAGGAAAACTGTGCTACACTAAAATGCACTTGAAATCTCCCTTATTTATGAATGTTGGATGTTCCCCTCAACAACGTTCCCACCGCTGAAACTTTTGCAGAATACAAGCCCACTCAAAGGTTGTTCATCTGGTACGACCGCCTTCCCCATCTTAATTATCGCTTAATCTCCCCAAAGTTTCACTCAGAACTGCCGACGAGGGAGAGTGCAGGTGAGGGGATGTATGGCATATGGCGCACGTGAAACGGGAAAATCCAGAAAAGTTAGCAATGAGACCATTTTTCTCAATTGCAAATATGACCCCTCCCTCCTCCCTAGGACCAAGCACGAGTGCACTCACTGGGAATACCCAACGTATGACGTTCCCTGGATGTAGCACAGGTACGCGGCTCAGAACCTTACTCGTTACGACGTAGATGACGTGCCACTGCCGTCACATAACACTTTAATGATACGTCTTCCGAAGCCACTGATTATGATATAACACATATTTCCTCGTCACTAAAGTGTTACATGTCACGTGATATCCCAACCCTTAAGAGGTAACAAATCTGTGTTACACTTACGACTTTTGGGCATAATTCCTGTACAGTGAACTAAATTGCACTTAAGTTCTCTAAGCTCAAGAGAAAACAGAAATACCTTGGTGCTCCCGTATGACATTTTGCTTCTACGACACCATACCGATGGTGGAATTGCCCTGAATTTCCGCAGTTAGCCTTTTGCGATAGAGGTGTCGTTGCAGCACAGAGCATTAGTAAGCCGTGAACAGAAAACAATCTTCAAGCGCAAATAAGGACACCAGAGCCGAAGAGACCAAGCAATACAACTGCAACCTACGTAACCTATTTCACAAGCTGACTGTCCGAGGCATCGTCTGCTCTGAGGGCCCTAACGAAAGTACAGTTAACACATGGAAACCTATGACAAAGATAACAAGTTATAAAAAGTTGTGTAGAAGGCAGATTATTACGCTGTGTGTGGCGGTTTGGCAGTTTTCGGCTCATACCCGTACATAAAAGTTGACACAATCACGGTAGTGGCGCCAGCAGCAAACATCCTAAAATGGAAATGATGAAGCGACAGAGTGTAGCATTTTCCACTTACAAGTTTAACTTACAGTTTTTGAAGTATCCTCAAGACAGTCTGCATTAAACTGCGTCGAGATCGCGGTCCAAACCCCTCAACCAGTAACGCGCACATTATCGCTATGCCTTCTAGATAACGCACACAACTTCTCAGAGGACAGTACGCATAGTCTCTGAAAGTTAATGTCGTTCCTCACATAAGGCTTCTACTCACTGAAGTGTGGCCACTCTCAACCAAGCGTCGAAATGACACGAGAAAGTAGAGGAACTGAATGGGTACTAACTTCTGTGCCTTCCTGGCCATGTGCCCACCTCCTGATTCCCAGGTTCTGACGGGTTTTGTCCGCTGCAGCTACTGCGCACAAATTTCTAATACCATCACTGAGCTACTGCAGCTAGGGCCAGGTTACTTGACTGACGGGTCTGCACTATACGCATTCTTAGGTTTTGCCACTCATAGGAAAAGCCAAGGCGTACCATCAGTTGTTCTCCTGGTATTTCTTTCTAGCCAGCCGCAAGAACTTAATCTACTCACAGCCAGCTAGCTCCAAGCAAATTCATTGTTGCCGCCATCAAAAGAATGAGAAAAAGGTCATATCTTCGTAATGATTCAGTCGATACGTTGAGCCGATTTATCTACAGAGTTTGTAAAGGCACATAAGAACTAACACAACTTTCTTTGTAATGTGGGAACTTTTGTGAAGTATTTGTAGCGTTGTGTATCTGTGTTGGTACTCGAACGTTGTTTTATAATCAGGTAAAGTTCTTTCTTGCATCATACATATCGATTGGCGTGCCAGTAGTAAGGCTACAGCGCAATTTATGCGCTGTCATATATCTCTATCTCGAATTGTATTCTCAGCATTCTGTTTCTCTAGATTGACCCCTGCATAAGGTCGTGATTTTGTTAAACAGTCAGTCTTGGTTCCTCGGCAGTGCCGGCTGTTCTCTCTACTAGCTTTGGTGAGGCCAAGAAAAAGTGACCAACACTATGGTCACCTTTCCCTGCAACTGCTAGACAATGGTGGAGATGGCCAAACTCGATGATAACAGAAGCAGCGTTCAAACTTCGCGGCGGCATCATCAAGTCGCGTCGAACGCGCGACCGAAGCGCTGCCGGCGCTAAGTATGAACGCTGCCAGACTCTGTAGGATTTTTTAACGAAACACTCACAACGACGGTGTGAAGTCGCCCAAGAAGAACCATGAAGCGAATGACGATAGAATAATTGAGAGCGATACAGCGAAACCTTTGAGAATGTTGTCTGCATACTTCACCACCAACGCAATCACCAAACCACCGTAGGCCTTAAATTTCATACAACCAGTAATCCTTCGCACTTGGTTACGACCAAAAAATTCCACATCGCAAAGCAAAATGGGCGTTTCCAAGTACGCTGTTGTGAGAAGAGCGACGACTAAGCATTTCCACCTCTTCTCTCTTATACATGCGTCTCTGCTTCTTCTTTATGGACCCTCGAATCCCACGTTATGTCCGCAACTACGTGCTTGGGAACGCTCCTTTTGCATTTTGATTTCTACTCGATTACTGTAAATTGGATGTTCTAGAACAGACAGCACCTGGAGCATGACAACGGTCCAAATAATATTGTTGTATCCTTGAAGAAAACCATCTTTCTGAATGGCCTCATAATCGTACAGCCAGCACATCAGGAAACCTCCAAAAATAGAGAAGAACGCTGAAAATGAAGCATTTTTGATGTTCAACTACCGCATTCTGACACCTCGAGCGAACGCCGTGCCGAGTGTATATCCGCATCTACAATCATTTTTGTACAAATGCACATAGAGAACATGATTAAACAGAAAGATGGACTTAATAAAGACAAAGCGCTGACTGTACTCAGAATAGCTTACTCGCCCAAGTCCCTCTTGAGGACTGCGCTCGTCTGGAAAAGGAGACTTGGGCGAGTAACTATATCTGGTAACAGTAGCGCTTCGTCTTTGGCGGACCCTTGCAGTCCCGCAGCGAGTGGCCGCCAACCAATAAGCAGGAGCCACCTGTGCCACCTACTTCTCGGGGCATAAATACTGCTCTTCGGCAGCTCGAGGCAGTATTCGCCCAACTCGGCCGGACGTCTCTCTCCAGCAAGCGACTTCGGTAGCCATTTATAAAACCTGAGATAGGTAACCGCAAATAACCCAAGGGGGCACCGTTCTGCAGCTAGTTCAAGAACACATCAACGCGTGACAGGGGACATATATGCCAGTGTTCCTTGCCACTCATCACGTGATCAATGCACGCAGCATTGACACTAGGACCTCACCAACAACACTCAACACGCAACACGTTCCCTTTGACAGCTAGGTAACCGTTGGTATCTGATCAATGTAATGATGTAACATGCTTTGCTGTATAATAAACACTGTAGCATAAACTGTCTTAGCGAGCAATCTATGGCGAATGCGCCGTTTCGCTAACCGCACACGAACTATCACGCGGTCCGCAATGGGTTAGGATGTTTTCAAAAACAAAGAACAAAAATGTACCTAGTTGAAGATTACGCATCCATAGCGAAACATTTGTGGTTTTCAGGATTTTCTCGAAATATACACCAGCAAAACCACTTGAAAAACATGCTGCTAAAACAGCCAGCAGTCCAACGATTTTATCTGAAGTATTGCCAGCTGTGCTTCCTTTGGCTGCGCCTCCAGCTGGCATCTGAATAAGAAATACTAGAGGGAATCTGCAAGCGAATAAAATGGAGGAGTGTTCGTCACTGACGAGAGAGGAAAAAGAGGAGTTGCATACTGATTACCACACTCAAAACTGTAGAGATTTAAATTGTGAAGGGAAGATCGAGAAAAGGGAGACTGAGTTAAATCAAGGGAGATCAGAAAGAAGCTAGTACAATAAAATGCTACAATAAGATGGTTCCTCAGCCATGTCGGCACAGGACAACGAGTGAAATGAACTCACCTGAACGAGTGCAACTCCTCCTGTAAGCAGAATGAGAGCCAGCCACTTCAAACGGTTGAGCGATCTCCCAAGCATGGTGACCGAGAAGAATGCAGTGGTCAGGATCTTTAGTTGATAAGTTACCTTAAAGGTGCATTTTACCATGCATAAGTACGACTATGTCCAACGAACAAAATCTTACTGAAATAGGCGCAATTATGGAAGCCCGAGGTTGTGTTCTTAGCTAGCGATGGGAGAATTATCGGCGAGTCGACGTTTTGGGAGAAGGCCTGCTAGACAAAGGGAAGGGCATCAATCAGAGCCGCTCGTTAAAGATTGGACATCTTGGAAAAACGCATATTCCCTCAAAAAGTCGACTCGCGAACTCGCTTGATCCGGCGGCAAAGTATGAGCACAGTCTAGCACTAGAACTTGAGAGTTGAGGAGGCCACTTGATGGCGCGATAACGTTTCCTTCCCTCCCGGACACGGACAGTGATCCCATTCCCAGGCTCAGTGTTACCAGAGCGCAGCCAAGGAGCGGCCTATTCACGCCGTTTGGTCCCTCATGCATTACAGCTCCTTAAAGACAGCCCCCGCGATCAAAGTGGCTAGTGGTCGCCTTTGCTGTGCTAAGTAGTCTAGCCTCCAAGCTAGAAGACTGTTCACCTTTCGCGACTCTATTGTGAGCGTGGAGGCTGCTATAGCCGCTCAAAGTGCTAGTTCTAACTCCTCCTCAGTCGGACCGCCTTTACTTGCTAGATGTCCTCCGACGGAGGCCACTTGTTCTTAGTTGGGGCGGCGGGCATTTGCTAATGCCCCTGGATAATTCTGCTCTCCTTCATTACAGTTTACTCATTGGAGGTATTATACATTCAATTCAAAACGCCCATTCCAGCGAGATGAAACGCGTAAAAAACACGAGTGACGCAATTTTCGTGATGCAAAACCTTGACGCACAAAAGGTGCGCTACCGTAATCACAAATTCAGACACCGTGTTGATAAATTCGTTTCCCTCGGCAGAGTTTTCCTCTGCGTTTTTGTTGTTTTTTTTTTCTTTTTTTGCACTGGATGATATCAACTACTGCGAGATGTGATAGAGAGATTTGTGAGCTAGGGGTTGCACAGAGACCGCAGGGAGGTGTGACTGTGAGGGAGCGATTTTGTTTATGTTGTTCTGGAGGAACGCTTCTTGCCTGTTTTCTTCTTTGGGAGATTACTTATCAGCTGCTGTTTCATAATTGGAAAGCAGCTATCCATGAGACTTTTATCGCGGGAGCTGTCTTTAAGTACCTGATAGTCTTGCAGCATCTAACTTTGACAGAGCAAGAAAAGAAGATGTTCTGTATCATACAGAACAGCTGCTCGCAGCCTGAAAGCAGAAGAAAATTCAAAGAAAAAGAAAATTGGTTCGTGAGCTGACTAGCCGCCGCCAAACACGCACCAGCGAACAAGCTGGTATTAACTGTGCGTAACGAAGTGAAATCACAATAGTAGCTCAATAGAATCGAACTCGTGAAGCCAGTTGGGATGTTAGGAAGCATAAAGCTCGAGTAAAGCGTCTGTCCGTGATCAATCTGTTTTTAGGATGAGAGACGCATCCCAATTCCATACAGAATTATAGTGGCTATTGGATCTGGTATGAGCTACGAGAATGACTTGTGACCGTATGGGCAGGTGTTTATGTAAGTGGGCCGAGGGCAGTGCTAGATTTGTCCGCTTACGGCGGTCATGCGAGCACTTGCAACTACACCACCTCTCCGTAAAAAAGCATACTTGAATGTGACCATTTTGGCGCCAGACTTTGAGAATGATGTCAATACCTGACATGCTAAGCGTGATCTGAACATATAAATGATTTCAAGAATTCTAGACCAAAATCAACCTTCAACGTCTCCTGCCGCTTCTGTATAACCTCAGCATGAATCTCGCTCAGAAAGGCGGACCAGCGCCAGCCTGGAACAGAAACGAGAAGAGCAGTGATACTAAGCTGCAGCATCAGAAGTCTAACTAGAAGACAAATGCGTGAATGTCTCACTATGGTTGAACAACACCACAGCAGTCACAGTTTGACATCTCAGGACATGACGACAGCTGTCGCTACAGGTAACGTACGAACCTTCATGCTTCCTAAATTTGTACCTGATTTGTAACTTAACCCATACTGATATTATACATACTGTAATATTGACGCATAGTGCCCCTCACAGCGGCTGTCTGTTAAATAAAGAAGAAAAGGGTTATAGGCAAATTTCGAAGCCATAGTCGGCCTTGAAGGTATTGAAAGGCACAAGAACATAATCGATCTTTCTCGAAAGTTCAGCTGGGCAGATGGGGAGGCTCACTAGTTTCTATTTCGTTAAGAGTTATTGAGAACGTTTATTCTACCCAGACAGTCACGCATTTGGGGGGGGACACCACACGGCATTCCCCCCTGTGTCGCTTACCCTATTAGTCCCAGGAAACTAGTCAGCTAAGGCTTGCAAAGAATGGAAGAGACTGTCCTCTCTCCTAAATCACCCCTTGCTGACTCCGGTTGTCTGCGCTCAGAGCACAAGTCTTGGTTAGGGAAAGTACATCGAGGCGTCGCTGCCCTCCCACCCCCCCCTCTCCCCACCTTAACACCGTTATTGCTCTAGGGCATTTTGACAACAGGCGACCTAAGACATTTAAAACCATTGACAAACATTTCCTTCTGATATAAATGCTTGCATAAATCCTCACCTCTCTGTCTCACAGAGGTTTCTGTGCACCTTCAACGGAAAAAAAATGAAAAAAGATGGTGTGGAAGGAAACTAGCCAGTATTTCTTAGCTTTGAAAACAGCTTGTGCAATAATGGGCTACCGTAATCCGACGTATTATAGCACCGAATGCCTCGCTATATTAGAATGGCGCCAAACAGCGCTATATTCATCATGCTGAACTGTGACCAACCTGAGTTCTTGAATATCGAAGGATCAGCACAAGAGCGGTGGTCTGAGCGATCAGAACGACCAAGGAGACATACTTCAGGTTTTTACCCGCCACTCCATTCGTCATGCTTGGAACACACTAAAAAAATTATTGGAGTCACAAAAATTCAACGAGAAGTTTTGTGGGGCACTTCAAATGTCATAAGGTGGTTGAAACAAGCATGATTCTAATCTGCAAGCTTCAAATATTCAGAAGAAAAGAAAATGCTCGACACAGCGCGCTTTGAAGCCCTTTGCCAACAAGGCTGCTGACGTGACATTCCATTAATAACGTACGCAATTTCGCGGACGCAATAGTGCACAATTACGTTACTTGTTGGCAAAACTCGCTTTGCTCAAGGAAGAATATTGTTACTTAATAAAATACCTTTTCGATTTATTATTTCCATGACATTGTTCATGTCAATTTGCACTTGTCGAATTGTGAGCTTTCTATCTGGGGCAGAAATCTCATTTATTTACAGCGCTAAACCGAATCGAAGAACCAATCAGGCTGAAGATAAAAAACATTTCCAATTGGAATAGGTTTTTCCTTAACCAAAAACGACTTCTTGTAAGTCGTTGATGTACTTTATGACTGGCTCGCGAATGTCGTATAAATAATATCCAATAGATTCAGCAACTTCTCCATGAGCTCGTCTTTGGAAATATCACATCTTGGTATTCGCAGTATCTTTTCTCGCATTAAGGTATGGCATATTTTCGAAGCTTTTTTGGTGGAGGTGGAGCAGAAGCAGAAGAAGAGGATGGTGCGGAAATTGTGGAGAAAATGGTGGAACGTGCCGAAACTTGTACAGCACTTGAAGATCGACGAGATGCACTTCGCGCACTTCGTGGTATGGCTAAAGTAAGGTTTTCACTTGCTTTACCCTATAGATATGTCTGCGAATGATCATTTATGTTAAACCAAGTTGAAGTTTCCCATACTATAGATAGACTTCCTGTTAACCAAGGCTTGAGCGTAGCAGCGGATGTTCTGCTCAACGCTAAGAAACTCCTCCGAAGACGTGAAATTCCATTTCGCAAGAAGAAATTTTCGGGGGGGGGGGGCAGTTCGGCAATGGGGGTGGAGGAGAGGGCGAGCATTTTGCACCTTTGCTACTTCCCACTGGTGTAACTAGCCATCTAGAGAACTGTTTCATTAACTGCGCTTAGCTGAGATTCATTGATCAATCAGTAGGCCAGAAGTTTTTTTTCTACGAGTTCTCCTGTTTCGATTCTTCAAATCGCACACTTTCCTTTTTGTAGAATTCCCCATTCCTCCAGTGTCACAAGGTACGCTATATCCCGCAGATAGGGTGGGCGTGCCCGCGTGCTTCATTTGAACGTCGCACGGCTTCGCTTCCACCGGGGCACTTTGGTTCAGGGCAAAGCTGGTCATGTTTTTCTCCAGCAGAAGACTGTAGTACGGCCGTACCAATAGCACGCCCTCTCTATCTACGAGTTACGAATATGAACTCCTGCTCAGCTATAATGGAAGAAGCCAATACTGAGCGAACGTTTTCGTTTTCCACCGAATCGAATCGTTTTCGTTTTCCACCAATTTGAAAAGCTGTTGGTGTTGCGAGCACTTTTCCAGAACATAGATGTGAACCTTTCGGTCAGTAAAAATTATGCTCGAGTGTCATGGCGAATTCGCGCCATGCATCTCCAGCTTTTCGATGAGTTAACTGATGACTACTTCATCGTGTACTGATTTAGAAGCTGCGATTGGCAGTCGGTACAATGGGACTAAATGTATATATGGACGTGTTGGAAAAGGAGCGATCAAATCAAGAGCTCCTTGCTATTACATTGGAGATCCTTGTAGCAGTTCTCAGCAGTGACGACGAGAGCACAGACGATGACGAACTTGGTGAACGCTTAGCTGAGGTTAACTTTCACTGTTCGTTACTGTTACTCCTCTCATTATTGTATTCTTTCTCAATAAATTCTTCTAGGTTATGCTGAAGAAACCGGTTTTCATCCCGTCGCTCTTAGCTGCCGTTGATGATTATGATATAACTGTTCGCCGGTGTGTTTTCATTTTTGTTTCTCTTCATTGCGGAAGATCAAAATTTTCTTTTCGTTTATCATGCCGAAATTTTCGAACCTTGGATTATGTTCGTGCTTTTTACTGGGCTGGAAAGTCCTTTCCCTTCTCATGTTGCCAATGTAAACAATGGCAGCTGGTTTTGATTGTGCCTCATTCTATGTGGTGACTTTTTTGCTTGATTATCTGCAACACTTCAATCTTAAGCTAATCTATTTTTTCTCCGATGTTCTCCCTTTATTCCAGTGAGCGCTAATAACTGATAGAAGGCTGCTTAAAGACGCGCTCAGCATTCATTCGTTGGATACTTTCCTTGGAAATGGTAGTCTTGTACGCAAGCATGAAGGATGTAATACTTTGGCAGCTCAAATTACTTGAGGGAGTGCTGCCCGCTAGTGCCGAGACTACTATCCCGCCCACTGGCCATGGCAGCGCCCATTTTTCATTAGTACAGATCCCTGGTGGTGCGGTTGATCCGCAAGCCGTTTTTCCGTTTCGAACGATGGAAGTGAGGTGATTGATAAGGAGAAGAAGCTGGCACCATCAAGTGAGTCTTTGACCGCGCCATTCTTCATCTTATGCACATACAAGCGCGGTTCAGCAGGGGGGGGGGGGGGCGGCGGGGCACTTGCGGCAGGTTCTTTCTGCTTTTTTTATTCTTTATTGCGTTACACCTTGTCATTACTATTTGAATGTGTATTAACAATGTGAAACTCCAAAAGTTTATTCCAAAAAACTCAAAAGACAGCAAAAGTCTCAAAAGTTTTTTAAAATATATCTTATCTGGCTATATTTCGGTGCGTAGCACCTTCTTCAGGCCTGAAATTATTTAGCTTGTTTTATGCAGAATATGAGCCTACAGAGATGTAACCCGCACGGACTCCCCCCATACGAGGCACTTACCGAAATATCCTGGCAAATTAGCCAACCCACCCTAACCACACCCTTAAATAGTGGGATGTGACGCGATCACATTATGACTTGCATAATGTCACGTAGTTCCTCCCTATTGTTTATTTGGGGTGTTAGCCGTTTTATTTCCAAGGCCTCCAATATTTTCCTTTCCATTGCGCTCTCTACCGAGCGGTGTAGTACTTTGACCATTAAAGAGGGGGTTCCTGGTGAGCGTGCTCCATTATGCGATGCCGGGAGAAACTGCTATTAGGGTAAGAAGGTGGATTTCCCAGCGCCCTCCGGTGTTCGTCGATCCGTTTGTATAGGGGCCTCCCAGTTTCTCCCACATATTTTTGCCCGCATCCTTGGCATTCTACCAGATAAACTGTCCCCCTGAGTTGACAGATTTTAGAATCCCTGCAGTAACTACAACCTGCCCTTCCACATTTATCTTCATAAGGCCTGGAAAATGTAAGGAGGCGTTTTAAATTTGGTGGAGGACGAAATATTAGGCGTATAGGAAGTGGTGAGCACTTTACAATATTATTTATTTTTAATGCCGTGCTTTCATTGAGGTAAGGTAATACCAAGGGAATTCCGTCCGCCGTGGAATGCGGTTTCCATGTATGGGTGCGGGTGCTTGTATACCCATTCTCTCTTAGAATTCTATCCACCATCGAGTCTACTTCTGATGACTGCTGGGTGCATATTTTGTCCTTAGTGATCACCATATTCCGGACAACATTGGCTTTCATGTACAGGGGTGACCACTTCTAGCATGCAGCAACACGTTCTTCGAAGCTGGCTTTCTATACCAGGATAACTCCGTGGTACCATTTCTGATCCGAACTTTGGTGTTCAAGAATGGGACAAATCCTTCATTGTTGGGGTTCTCCACAGTAAACCTTATGTTAGGGTCCTGCGAATTCAAATTGAGAAGTGTCCCGTCCAATTCCGCTGAAGATGAGCCAATTATGAACACGTCGTCGATATATCGTTTATAGAAGATTATGCCAGCTGTCAGTGATCGTCGTTCCACGAAGTCCAGGTACACAATGGCCAGCAGTGGTGCTATTCGTGATCCCATGGCTAAACCTCGATGCTGGACATAAAATCTTCCGTTGAACTGGAATATGTTGCTGTCCAGCGTTGCTCTGAGTAAATCCCTCAGGTCATTTTCGTCTAGGCCAAAGGTGTACGTTTCTCCCTTGTACTGCCTCCAGAGGGTTAACAAAGCTTCTATAGCATCTTGAGTGTTCACGTTGGTGTAGAGTGAAACGGCATCAAAGCTGGCATAACATGCATCGGCGGGAATATGGCATTGGTTGAGGCATGTAATGAAGTCCCTGGTATTTGTTAAATGTGAGGTGATGTGGCGTAAGAGTGGGGAGAAAAACTTGACCAATAACCAGCTAATTTTATCTGCTGGTCCACCACAACAGGAGATTATGGGGCGAGTTTTGATGTCCCTATCGGTGAGATTATTTGGAGCGATACCAATGATTTTGTGGGTTTTGACCAGCGAGTAGAAGGTGGGTACGCACGGCGCGGATGATATGAATCTTCTCACCACCTCTTGATCTAACTTTCGACCTAAAACTTTTTTGATTGTGTTCTCAAGCTTTTTGGCCGCCTGATTGAACGCCTGAATTGAAGACTCAGTGTAGGTGCCGCGGTCCTCTAAACTACGAGTGGTGACTGCCTTGTCCATATCCTTGGTCATAACGACGAAATCCCCGCTCTTGTCCCCAACACTGTATCTTAACTCTTCCTTCCTTTCCATGAGCTTCTTGAGGCCTCTCCTTTCTTGCTCTGTTAGGTTGGACCCAAAATTTTGTTTGCCTCGCCGTAGCGTAGGCGCTTTTGTCGCTTCGATGCTGCTAAAGGTCGGTGCAGCACTGGTTCAAGCGCCCCAATTGGTTTTGAACAGTACATTTTAACCGTTTTTGGGAGGCGTACGGCTTGCACAGCGATCAGTGGACTTTTGATCCTTAGAAACGTGTTGGCCCAGTTGATGTTCGCTCTCAACCGTTATTTGTACATGCAGAATTATTGAACCGCAGACTTACTTGCCCACCATCCGTTTTATGTCTGATTAGCGGTTTCTCAATACTGCGAATGCATGGCGCCCGAGGTGTTAATGCCCGCTTCCATATCACCGTCATCCACTCGGTCAGTGCCTATGATAGTACAACGTTTCGGCGGCACTGCATCCCATTTTATAAATGACTCTTGCTGTCGAGTGGTTGAACCAGGTAAGTTCTGAAACTTGTTGTTTAGCCGATTGTGCTCAACCCGGCGCAATTGTGTACACACTATCTGATTTTGAAGTCCTAATGGTTTCCCATACTTCGGTTGGTAGGCGTGTTTGTAGGAAATTGCGTGATGAGATGATTCCATTTATACATTTGCTTCTTCTGTGCCGTCGGTCCGCAATGCTAGCTAGCGTTTAGTAATGAATCTTGTAGCCTCTCAAGATTGCGTCTGACCCCATCGTTGTTGTCATAAGGTATCACACTGAGGACATTTTCCAGGAACCTGGGAACAACATGTTGATTCTTGCACCTAAGGAGGAATTTTATAGATTCGTCGTAGGATACCGCCGCTTGGTGACAAGCTACATATTTCAGTAAGACAGCAAAGTTGTACCTGCTGATTTGATGTTGACGCTGCAGGTGTTGGAGACATCGGAGTATGGTGCTGTCCCGGAGTCTCATTACTCATCTGAATGTGTAATAACAATGTGAAACTCCAAAAGTTTATTCCAAAAAACTCAAAAGACAGCAAAAGTCTCAAAAGTTTTTAAAATATCTTATCTGGCTATATTTCGGTGCGTAGCACCTTCTTCAGGCCTGAAATTATTTAGCTTGTTTTATGCAGAATATGAGCCTACAGAGATGTAACCCGCACGGACTCCCCCATACGAGGCACTTACCGAAATATCCTGGCAAATTAGCCAACCCACCCTAACCACACCCTTAAATAGTGGGATGTGACGCGATCACATTATGACTTGCATAATGTCACGTAGTTCCTCCCTATTGTTTATTTGGGGTGTTAGCCGTTTTATTTCCAAGGCCTCCAATATTTTCCTTTCCATTGCGCTCTCTACCGAGCGGTGTAGTACTTTGACCATTAAAGAGGGGGTTCCTGGTGAGCGTGCTCCATTATGCGATGCCGGGAGAAACTGCTATTAGGGTAAGAAGGTGGATTTCCCAGCGCCCTCCGGTGTTCGTCGATCCGTTTGTATAGGGGCCTCCCAGTTTCTCCCACATATTTTTGCCCGCATCCTTGGCATTCTACCAGATAAACTGTCCCCCTGAGTTGACAGATTTTAGAATCCCTGCAGTACTACAACCTGCCCTTCCACATTTATCTTCATAAGGCCTGGAAAATGTAAGGAGGCGTTTTAAATTTGGTGGAGGACGAAATATTAGGCGTATAGGAAGTGGTGAGCACTTTACAATATTATTTATTTTTAATGTCAAGGATGCGGGCAAAAATATGTGGGAGAAACTGGGAGGCCCCTATACAAACGGATCGACGAACACCGGAGGGCGCTGGGAAATCCACCTTCTTACCCTAATAGCAGTTTCTCCCGGCATCGCATAATGGAGCACGCTCACCAGGAACCCCCCTCTTTAATGGTCAAAGTACTACACCGCTCGGTAGAGAGCGCAATGGAAAGGAAAATATTGGAGGCCTTGGAAATAAAACGGCTAACACCCCAAATAAACAATAGGGAGGAACTACGTGACATTATGCAAGTCATAATGTGATCGCGTCACATCCCACTATTTAAGGGTGTGGTTAGGGTGGGTTGGCTAATTTGCCAGGATATTTCGGTAAGTGCCTCGTATGGGGGGAGTCCGTGCGGGTTACATCTCTGTAGGCTCATATTCTGCATAAAACAAGCTAAATAATTTCAGGCCTGAAGAAGGTGCTACGCACCGAAATATAGCCAGATAAGATATATTTTAAAAAACTTTTGAGACTTTTGCTGTCTTTTGAGTTTTTTGGAATAAACTTTTGGAGTTTCACATTGTTAATACACATTCAGATGAGTAATGAGACTCCGGACAGCACCATACTCGCGATTACTATTTGAGTTGTACAATCCACCATTAACCTACGCGGGGCGTGCATTCGAAGAACTTGGGCAAATATGGGACTGCATCAACCAGCGAAAAGTACCTACTTTCATATCGGCTTGCCATCCCCGGAGCACATCGCTACGTTCACGTTCCGGTATTTCGGGCGTTCGTTCTTGGGTAGAAGTTCCTGTTCACACTACACGAATGCCATTTGTGCACAAGGCTCCTCCAAAGATCTTCCACCTAAGTTATTGAAACTTTTCGTTTTTCTCCTAATATGTGGGATTGTGTATTCTTTGCCGTTTTATCCAAGTCGCTACTTTACGCTATTCCCCCAATGTATGAAAGGTTTCCCTGTTGTGTGAACTCCTTCCATTAGGGCATAAGTTGTGCCGCGGGTTATCGAACTTGAATGGGGGGACCAAAATACACATTTCGGATGATATGATGCACCGATCGTATTATTTTCATAGTTTTGATAAACGTTCAGTGTTTCAGAGTAGGAATACAATTACTAACATCACTGCTTCGTCATCGTGGTCCAGAAGTACAGGCAGCAGTGATGGCCCAACCTACAGGTGTTCCTCACCTCGTGGATATTGTTCACGACCGACGCGAAGTAGTTCGAAATGAAGCCGTTTTGATGCTATGTGAGCTAAGCAGATCGAATTCGCAGGTAAGGAGATCTTATTGATAACCCAAGTTGATATCAAGCTTGTCTTTACAGATTCAACAGTTACTAGCGTATGAAAATGCTTTTGTTCATTTGTTGGATATCATCGATACGGAACCGCTCGACAGTTAGTCATTTGCTATGTTTACGTTTCTTAACACCTCCAGATTAGCTCCTTTTTTGCTTTCTATAACTTCAAACGTGCTGTTTTTGCAGGTATTATTATCGAAGATTGTTTATTTGTTATATTGAACCTGCTCAGAAAGAATACGATGAACCAACAACTCTTCAGGGAAAACAAGTAGGTTTATTGTTTCATCGAAATTGAAAGTTTTTCTAGAAATTTCTAGTGTTGCCTGCGTTCATACTTTGTGGGCGCAAAAACCGCGATTCTGCGGGTCGGGATGATTTCAAATGACGCTAGTGGGCACAGCATTGGCTCCCATCACCTTTGGTCGCTCACTCTTCCAGTCATTCGCCGAGTTCATGGGTTCTCCTCGTTCGCAATCTATGAACGGTACTCTGAAGTCTTGCACTGAGCATCCAGCGATAGTGAAGACTGAGGTGCTGAAGATTGCTTGGAAGTACTAGAGCCTTAGTGCCGTGAAGATGAAGACGTGTAAACGACGTTCCCTGTCCTTATGCTTTCGAGTACATATTGAATTAGATATGTGATAGTGATGCTCACAACTAAATTACTTGTTTTCTTTACTGTGCTGCATGGAACTTCAATTGCTGTTAAAAGCGCATCCCCGGTCTACTTGATGTAGACGCCGCCCTTGGACAACGTGTTCCGGTCGGCAAGCAAGAGAATGCACCTTTTCGTGGCTCAAGAATGAGTGCTAAGGAGTGTGATAGCTTCCCGAAAGCGATGCGCCGCCTCTGTGGCACGCCTAACTTTCATTCCTAAGTGGTCTCTGGTGGTCCATTTCTTCCGCTACCAGCACTTCCCGCTTCGCCGATATCATTATGATACCATGAAGTACACACGTTGTTTTAGCTTGATTGCTCGCCTGGGAGTGATGCTTAACACATTTCTTCTATGGCTCAGAAGAAGATGAACCCGATGCCTTGGAATGGGTGAAGCAACGAACTGCAAATATCATCTTCCTCCTGCAGGTTATAAGGTATTCCTATTCAATCCATAATTTTTTTCATCAGTTGACAGCAGTTTTCCCTCGCGTACCTATAGTTTATTTATAGGAGTTTGGTGAGCCCGGACAATGCTGGAACTAATACTCATGCTGCTCAGAAAGCTATTCATCAAACGAGTAAGATCTGATGTTTGCCAACTTTACTCAGAGGCATCATTATTTACTGTAATATTTTGTTCGTTTGTGAAACTGTCTGGATGAAGAGGTGTCTGGTGAGTTAGCGCACATGCTTCCCAAGAAATCGAATTAGATATTTCGATTTCTTGGGAAGGAGGAAGAGCAGGAGAAAAGCAGCCTTCCTTCCTGAAGAGGAGAGGGTATGAGAACTCTTCGCCCTTGATCAGTACATTTCTGGGATGCGATACGCCTTCAAATTCCGTCCAAGGCACGTATACATTGAGGATCCTGGGCGAGGTGGTCGCATTTGGTCGCTGGGGAGGGAGAGGGGGGTCATATTGCTTTCGAGCCATTAAATCAGGTGGAAGTGGTCCTCTGAATGCGATTTAGTCTATAAAACGATATACGGGGATTGGTCGATGCACTATTTTGAGTATGTGACCTCCCGGATAAGTCCAATACCAATCCTGACCAGCTCCGGAGTGATGAGTGACTTGGTTCACCCAGGGGAGAGCAGAGTTCGATCCCCGAACCACGTGCGGGAAGCAGACCAGCTTGCCACTACATCACCTGATCCAGTCACTGCCTTTACTAGAGCGCAGTGGTGCAGTTTCTCAAGGTTGTGGATGAATTTTGTTTCAGTCATTCCAAGCGTTGTGGTCATAAATTCCATATGGTGCTTTTTATTACTTTCGATGATGCCCGCTACTTGATTTATGGCGAGGCGAACATAGGGATGTTTCATTTTCTCGGAATTCTCTTATTAAGAAATGCTTGCTGAACTATGCCGCGTTTTGCTGTCTGAGATGGGATTGCCAATCGAAGTGCTAACTGAAACGGTGATCGCAGTAGCGGAAGCCATTCGAGGGAATTATACAAACCAAGAATACTTTGCCAACACTACCCTTATCACCAATGAGAATCTTACCAGGTACTTTTTACTATAATGCTGAGGTGAGGTTTTTCTGCATTTCTCATAATTCTGCACCTAGATCGTCACTTGTTGTGTTGCTGATCTCTATGACAGCTGAGAAGCAACCATTCAAGATGCGTTGCGCTGTTTTCTATTGCTTCCTTTCATATCTGCACGACAACGAGTTTGGAAAAACGAAGGTAATTCCGAGGGATTTCGCGTGTTCTCTACGGTCTTAAGACGTGGCAGCAATAAATGGCTGTTGCCGCACCATCGCAGCGTTACTACTTTGGTTGTGAAGGGCGGGCCTTGTTTCAAATTCCATTGACACTTATTGAGTCATTTTTTGGCCCGCGGCTATGGCAATAAAATGCGCGGCATCTCAATTTCAGCTAAACTAATGTGGATTTTCAGGTGATTGAAACATTGCTGCCGACTAATCAACCGGATACCACTTTTTCAACGGGCTCTTTGATTTGCCAGGTGAGCACCTTTTCGATGTAGATGACTGGTTGAAGGATTACTCGAAAATAAGGCCCAAGGATCCACTGGAAGGGCGGTTTTTAGATTAGATTACACTTTTCCGATTCATACCCTATCACATCTACATCTATCAGATTTTGACCTTCCGAATATATGACGTTTCCTATCCTATCCTTCGAACATTAGTTTTAGTAGTAATATTAGTCTTTACACTCCATCCAGTAGGTTTCGGAGTAGAAACAGCCTCACCGGGCCCAAGCATTCTCCATCTGCGTACTTATGCGGCTCAAGCTAGTGGAAAATTTTTACATAAATTGGTTCTCGAAGTTCTCATTTCGTTCAGACATTCCCACCTCAGAGGGAGTAAAATGTTCTTCGTTTTAGGCCATTACCTCAAGTGAGTCGGTCCAGTGCTGGTTCGGTTGCGTATCGCTTCTTTACTGCCTACTAGACGTCGAACATCTAAGGTGGGTTTTCTTACCATTCTTGTCTCTGCTATCATGGGTTTTGCTGCGTAATGTAGGCTTATCGTAAGAGCTCTCAGTGTATAAGGGCGTTGCAGTTGTTATGCGAATCAGACGATTTGTTCAGTACGTGTTTAGAGAGCAACTTCTGCGAGTGCAGGTGTCGACAACCATTGATCATCCTCCAATATTGCTCATCAAGCACGTTTCAGGTCTTTTGGTGAGCTCTTTTTGGGATCTTCTTAGGCTCGGTCTTAACTTAACACTCGTGACTGCGCATGGTATTCTTGTTTCAGGTCAGTATGGGTAATCGTAGGGTCCAAATGCGTGCCGGTATATTAATGTTGCTATCAACGTGGCTGAAAAACTGTCCATCCGCTGTTGCGATTTTCCAAGAGAACGAGGATAATGTACACTATTTGACAACACAAATCCGTAGGTGTCGAATGATTTTCAACAGCTGGGATCGGTTTTGATAGCACTGTTTTAGTTGACGATTGTGGTGAAGGTACGGAAAGTGAACAGCAAGTTCTCAAAGGACTGATGGCTTTTCTTCTGCTAGTTTGCCTGAGAGAACGTTGAAGATCCAAACCAAAAGTGAGTGCAGTACTTTACGGAGCCTTTGTCGGTACGGAGTTTTCTTTAGTCAAGCTTACGAATGCAGCTGTTTTTTTTTCGAAATCTCGATATGATAAAAAAATCGCTCATGAAGAGTTTATTCATCTATTTCTTAATTTACACTATTCTTTGAGGTGAGGTAAAGGTATGTAGTGGCATGGTTGACACGCGATCCGGAGGTTGAATGCCGGATCTGCACCCGCCCAGACGAGTTAATCCTTCTACCTTCGGTAAATTGGGAGGGTGGGGTGGGCAACCGAGTAAATTGTACATTGTATGGCCCTTCAAGTCACTATATAGCTTCGCATTCAGTAAGCTATCACTATTTTTGAATTGAAATAGAATGCGTGCCGCATCTAATGGTAAGAAGGATTTGATCAACAGTGAAGGCTTTATCCTTCATTTTCTGAGTTACAAGGCGCAAGCATTCGGATGGTCACGGCAATGTAAGGGACAGGTTTCTTGACACAGTAATGAGCTTCTTCAGTACTTTTTGCATATTTCAGTTTTTTGTTGCCTTTGAATGGCAAAGCTCCGAGGTATTACGCTTATAACCCTGAAATTCGCATTCTTTCTCGAAATTCCACATTCTTTCATATTAGTCTCGGCCAATATGACCGCACTTCTCGACGAATCAGGTCCGACTTTCTCAGTTGTGCGCATTCCTCAATGTGGTAGTGCGCTGGTTTTGGTGGTACAGCTGGTTCAGCTCATATATGATGGCACCTTAAGAAGGAGGGGTGTTGAGGGGTTGTATAATCGTAATAAGATTAACGTGAGCTGATCAAATCACCTCACGTGTCCCATCATGATTCCGTGGGTGAATAATAGGTATCACAGGTCATCACTTGAGCAACTCGTGGAGCGACGTGTCGGTCGTGATACAGTGATTGGAGCTATCGAAGGACTATCACGAACGGAACAATTTGTTCGCGCTGCTCAAAAACCACAACCGCTCACGAAGACACCAAACGAGTTATTCTTGGACTATCATTTCATCAAAATGTTCAAGTCATCAGAAAGTAAGCGGTATTTTCAAATTAGTGCTTCATTTTCGACTTTATTTGTGATCAATGTAAATGGTATTATTTTACCGCGACCGTTTCATTCAGGCCAACTGATCAAAATGTTACGACCTTCTGGTGAATTCAACGGGACGGCTTCAAATGATAATATTATTCAATCGTTTAAGGTCAGTCATGGCTGAGTCCTTCCTCCTGGTTTTCCCAGTCTTGTTGGAATGTCTGTTGTTTTGAATTTTGTTGTGAATTTCTAGAACATTTAGGACCTTATTAAACGACAAGATGAAGAGATAGCAGTTCTGAAGCAAGAGGCAAAGCGAGCTGCTGCTCAAATCGAACAGTTACAGAAAGAGGTAAGGTCTTTTACATAAAGGCTTGCTCATTATGTTCCGCTGCTCAAAGCCTGATTTCACCATCAGAACGATAAGACGGAACTGGAGCGTGAACTGGAGTCGGTTAGGAAGAGTTTAGAAGACAGCCGCCTACAGAATGTACAGACGGAAGGCATGCAGCTTCAGATGCAAGAAATGTATCGGTAAGCGGGCTGTGATGTCTTGATCTCCGGTTTTTTCAAACTCGTGAACTTTTCACTTGTAACCTGGAGAGGTTTTTTAGTGTCAATGAGCAGTGGC